TTAATATATATATATATGAGATTTTTTTTCCACTTATATTTAAAACTGAAGAGAGTAACTTCTTTTTCTATGTTATATATTTCCTTAGAAACTTATACTTATTTTGTTTAATAAGTCATATTATACGTCAAATTTCAACGATCTAATAATTGAATTTAAAAGTTTTAATACATAGATCAAATTTTTAAATTTTTAACAAATTTGAAAGTCATTTGATATTTTATTTCATAAATTCAAATCAATGTATAAAATAATTTTATGATTATCCATCAATTTGAATAAATGAAATGAAATATTAAATAATTTTTAAATTTGTTAAAAATTTGCATATTTGATCTACGCTTAAAACTATAAATTCAATTATTAGATCATTGAAATTTGATGTAGAATATAAGTTATCAAACAGAAGAAATCTAGATATATTTACCCTTAGAATAAATGAATCGCTCCTCTCTCTCTCTCTCTATATATATATATATATATTTAAAATACAGTCTCAATTAAATGAAGAAGAAGTATATTAAACATAATGAAATTAAATAAAATAAAAATAATTAAAATTTATTTATACCTAAGACTAACATATATATATATATGAGACTTTTTTTTTTTTTTTATCTTGCTTATATTTAAAACCTGAAGGAATATTTCTTAATTCAACGGTTAAGGTTATTATTCAATGAAATAATTCAATTTTGACTACTATATAGTAAAGGCTAAACGACCATTGTAGAGTAGTTTTACAAACAAATTACTGAAATGGGTTGTTTTGAAACATATTACACCTTTGGGGTTATTTTCTACGGTGTCGCTATGGCCCATAGCGACACAAGTGACACGTGGCAATTTTGGGTCTGATTATAAGCCATGAACGCCATATTTGTAGAGTCGTTGTAGCTGGTGGAGTCTCAAGTAAAGTCGCTATAGGCTATAGCGACTCAATATGGCTAAAACTGAAGTCGCTATAGCCTATAACAACACAATTATATAAATAATATAAAAAATATATTATATAAATTTAAAAATATAAAAAATTATGTGAAGAAAAAACGAATAAAAAATAACGTAATATAAGAAACATAAAAAATAAATTATGTTTAAAAATATTAATTAAACTATAAAATAATAATTTAAAAAAAAGGGGCACTATGGCCCATAGCTGCACTGAGGCGCTATGGCCCATAGCGCCGATTTAAAAATTATATGTTTTATTTTATAAATATAACATTTGAGAAATAATAATAAATGAAGCACGGTTGCATCTTCAACAAAATGCTGCAAGACATTTCTCTTAATTTGTGTGAATGTACAGCATCTAAGCAGCAATTCGTCACTCATTTAGCTGCAAGACATTTCTTTTTTTAAAAGTGAAAAAAAAAAAATGGGGCGCTATGGCCCATAGCGGCACTAAGGCGCTATGGCCATAGCCCCGGTTTTAGAATTAAATGAAGCACGGTTGCATCTTCAACAAAATGTTGCATGACATTTCTCTTAATTCGTCACTCATTTAGCTGCTCCTAATTATTTCGCTATATGTTTCTTTTACCTTTCGTATAAAAGCTTCCCTGTAATATTATAAGCAAATTATGGAAATTAATCATGAAGTTGATTCATTGAACCAAATTATTATAAAAGCTTCCCTGTAATATTCTACCAGTTTTTTTAAAAAATTTATTTTGTAATTCATTTTTTTTATGTTTTTCTTTATTTTTTCCCTTCACTTATTTTTTGCCTAGTTTTTTATTTTTTGCCTAGTTTTTTTTTAAATTTACATATAAAAATATTATTAATACACTTAAAAAATATAATGTAAAAAATAATTTAAAAAC